ATGTGGACCGTCAATTTTCAAGATTTTTAAGTGTTTTATAGATATGCTCAATCTAACATATTTTTGAAAGTTTAAAATAATTAACAATAAAGGTAGAGTTTCAAGCCATCGCAAGGTTTCCGACACCAGAACTGTGCACCCAAACATATTTTAGAGGTGTGCCTTACTTCTACAGTATAAGGAGGGAGCCTCACATAAACCTCACCCATAAATATAAATTATCCAAGCTTTATCCCAACTATTTTGAGGTTGGCCCACAAATCCTAACTATTTTGGGGTTGGCCCACAAATCCTGTTCCTAATACCTAGTTATTATTGATGAACAAAGAAGAAACATGAGAGGTAAACCACATTGATAAGTTATGAGTCCTAGGAACACTGCCTACAATAGACATTGCTTCTTTTCTTTTTTTGGGCTGAGCCTAGAGTAGATACTGCCTTTTTTTTGGCTAGGCTTAATGGTAGATGTTGCTGTTCCGGCAAGAGAATCAACATATGTTTTCTTTTTCAGGGTAGGTAATCAATCACTACATATCCAGAGGCAGAACAGTTGCCACAATTTGACCCACCATCATCAGATATGGACACAGAGCACTTCTGTCTGCCTATGACAATTTACCGCACATTTAAATCCCATGCAAACTTCATGGGAACCTTGGGTGCCATAAGAATCAGACTCAAAAGCATGAGAGAGGAAGCTATACAAGATGCCAGAAAGAGATTACACTGCTGGAGACATGGGATCTAGCATCACTGCATCAAGGTATACCTCCATCGAATACGAATGGATATATAATAGCTTAATTCAAGTGCCTCGTTTGGAAAATAAAATACTCAGAGAAAGTTTTTTTGGGGTAGAACATGGAACTGATTGGGGGATAAAAAAAAGAACAAAAACAACCATCAATTTTAATTTATTTGAGAAAAGCTGCTTTTGAACATCAAATCAAAAGAGGAGTGCTAGGAAATTTTGAAGACCAAATAAAATGATGCTCAAACTTGATACTCCATCCAAGAAACTGTTCTAATGCACCTTAGCCCTCTCTAGATAGAGATTTTGGGCTTTTTATCTGTACAGTCAGAGTCAGGCCACACGCAATTGGAGTAAGAAGATGTTCGTGTTTCTTATCTCATGTTTCTTTTTTGTTCATCAATAAAGACTAGCTATCAAGAACAAGGTTAATGTAGTCAACCTTAAATAGTTAGGATAAGGCTCGGATGATGATAATAATGATCATTATGTTGTCGATGAATATTCTAGAAATTACAGCAATCACGCATGAATCATGCAGTTAATCACTAACAATGCATTAACTGTGCATTGTGTTATTTTCTAGAATTATTGAAAATTTGCGGTTTGGCTAAACTACTGAAGACCAAGTCATGAACTGAGATTGAATTTCAAAAGAAGGTTCCAACTGTAATAGAACCTGATGCTAATTGGCCATCTAAACAACACAATTGCTTCAAATATTGAGATTCAATGGAAAAAACCAAATCAACTCACCAATTAAAGAAGAAAGTTGGTAAAAAATTTAATACAGAAACATCCGAACTTTTGAAGCTTTGGTAAGGAATCCCGAAATAGGGTCAAGTTTCGAATTAATTGTAGGCAATGAAAACTTGATCTAATTAATGAGGACATGAGCTCACATAAACATCTATTAGAACCACAAACTAATTGTTTCGAATTATCATAGTGCTTGATAAACAGTCCACAGTAACTACATCTACCTATTGAAGGGAACCTGAAGATCATTGCTATCCAAGTTATCATCCAAAGTGACAAACAATATGCATTGAAGCAGCAGCAACAGCTACAAAAAATCCTTCAACTTGTACAATACATTCGCAAAATAACACTAATGCAGGAGACAAACAATCTGCATTGAAGCAGCAGCAACAGCTACAAAAAATCCTTCAACTTGTACAATACATTCGCAAAATAACACTAATGCAGGAGACAAACAATCTGCATTGAAGCAGCAGCAACAGCTACAAAAAATCCTTCAACTGTACAATACATTCGTAAAATAACACTAATGCAGGAGACAAACAATCTGCATTACTAAACAAAATGCACAAACCTATGCAACATAATGCAACATAATAAACACAACATGTACTACTACTACTACTAAACAAAATGTATGCAACATAATAAACACTACTACTAAACAAAATGCACAAACCTATGCAACATAATAAACACAACATGTACTACTACTACTAAACAAAATGCAACATAATAAACACAACATGTTATCATGTTGGCCATAAATATGAGTGCAACGGATGGCCTTTAACTAGATGCATGTATGGTTCAAACAGTTTATGAGATAGGTCAATCAAGGAGAAAAATTTCTTCATGGAAAATTTAAAAATAAGTAACTATACAATCTCAAAATATCGACTTTGTTAAAGTCAACCAATCATTTGTAGCTCCACTTAATCATTGGATAATGAGGAATTCACTTCAATTCAATTTGATAATGTCACATTCCACCTTTCTCTGAGCAAAGAGAATATGGCACAGACTCACTTGCACTTTCAAACTCCACAACATAAAATTAGGGAGAATACTTAATCAGGTTTTCATAATAGCAGCAATGAGTTCGAACTCTTGAAGATGCACAAATTCATCGAAGGGAATGCAACTCATACAATGAAAATTTCAGTGAATATTATGGAGAATTGCAAACCTCAACTCCAGTTCTTGACTGGAGGGCAACAAAGGAGCTCCCATGATGAGGGACACAATCAACTCCAGTTCTCGACTGGAGGGCAACAAAGGAGCGCCCATGATGAGGGACACAATCCCTAAAAGCAAGGGTCATGAGCCTCCTCCTCCAAGCCTCTTTCAACTCCTCTGAGGATGGGGCATCCTCTGAAACAAAATGACAAATTCATTATTAGCGAACGTTGACTACCGATTTATGGAATACCTTTGCATGTATCTCCACTCACATATGATTTATATGTATTTGGAGATTCAAGGCCATCCAATCTTGATAGAATGGCTGATAGTGAGCTAAAAAAAATGTCACACGCTTGTGTTTATCGGGCCATAATCTATACATGCACTGTCGTCGTCAACTTCCTCCCAATCTGATCAGATGCATGGAGACATAGATACTTGCCCCTATTGATTAGGCAACAATTGAAGGATGAGCAGAATATGAGTAAGCAATCCCATTGATTAATAACATGAAACTCCACGACAAAATCATGTTACACACACCTTAGATGCATAATGACTACATATAAAGAGAGAGAGAGAAGTACTCAAGAGGAAAGGTAGGCAGTGTTGAGGTTCTGGCGTGAAGCAACAATGGGGGCCAAGAGAAAGTTGGATGTCTTCTTCTTGTGCTCTCTCAGTCACTCTTTCGGTCCTGCTGCAAAGGAAGTAAATATGTAAAATTTGTAAGGCGAGGTATGTCTTGAAATAGAGAGAGAGAGAGAGAGAGAGAGAGAGAGAGAGAGTACATACTAC